TTATATATATATATATATATATATATATATATATATATCAAATTTGTAAAAGTATCGAGAAAAGGAATACATAACTTCGTAAATGCAACCATAAACACTAATAAAAACTGAGAACTTCAGCGAAGGATGAACAAAATGGAATTAAAAGACGAAAAAATGTATTTAAAAAAAGAAATATGTACTGTCATAAAAAATTAAAGCAAGAAATTTTAATATAAAGAGATTCTCTATGCACTTGCATCACCATCAAATGTTTGGTTGCACCGAATGACAGGATAATCCTGATGATTCAATGGAAATTCCCAGATATTTCCATTAAAATCGATGTAGTCTGCTACAAAACAAAATTTACACTATTACGATCAATGTTTATTTTTTAGACCCAACCTATTCTCTAAAAAATTCTGAGAACCTCACTTCGAAAGAAGTTGAGAAGGAAAGGAAAGAAAAGGGAGGATAGAAGAAAAAAAAAGACTCACGAATTCATGAAAAGATGTCACTACGCCCTCTCACACGAAAATTTGCTCTGTCTTTTCCACAATATCCTTTACTTTTTAATTCTTGTCATTTGTCATGGTATTTTAATTAATTGATATAGACCATGAAAAATTTAGCGAAAAAAAGGAGTTCACGACTTACGCAGTGAATTTTCCCAAAACGATTATTTCCTATTATTAAATAATATCTCGCCCAGTTGATAGCAACAGCTAAAAGAGCATGCCTTACTAATAAAGATGATAAAGGGTGCGAATGCCTTCTTCTCGTCCATTAAATTTGAGTGATATTTCATAAATAGGAAAAGATCGAAGTATTCCACAATAATGCGTTTCTAGAAACGCTTCAAAAAAGTGAATCAACTCTGGAATGTTTCAGCGAAGCTGTTCTCCTGCAATAGTTTTCGGCTTTTCAGTCAAAAACAGATGGTGAAACGAGCATTTGACAAGAAATACGTATAGCCGGCAAATTTCTACCTAAATCAATCTAACAAATACGAGATGAAGCAAAAAAGTCTAGGAAATGTATTACATACGTCAAAATGAAAACACCCAAATATATGATTCAGATTTCGAGAAAACTCAATAGATTAAAGTGTTGTGACTCCAAAGAGCTATCCTGAAATATAAAGAACCATACATCTAGTTGTGACAAATAGTTACTCTAATGACACAAATAGTGCAATCATATAATGATTAAGAGTAAAGATTATTTATTTAAAATAAATTTGGTGGATACATGAGATTTTGTCGGATCAAAACGTGCGACAATATCCTTTACATTCGTAGATTTTGCAGCCAACAATGGCTTATCTTTGTAACCGGATGCACCATTACTTGTAGCCTGAAATTAGATTACGACAAACTTAAGATTAAAAGGGAAATTGAGAGATGGTACAAACTGATCCATAAGTTTAATGTGAGGATGCATCATGATTGTAGAAATATAATACACTGAATGCTTTTGAAGTGGGATCGAATTTTTCGATCATACCACATCCAAAGAATCGAAAACACCAGTACCTGGTTATGATGAGGTGGCGGCGGTGGTGCATACACGGGCCTAAAACTTTCTGTCCTGGTCATTTTTATTGCATCAGCTTCCGGTGGAACGCAATACATCGGTGATGTTTGCTTTGTTAGATTCATACTGAGTTCATCGCCTTTCTCTGCATACAGCGCTTGTAAAGCTTCACTTCGTGGTCGTTGTGGTACCTATAATAAAGGCAACTAATAGATTTTGCAGATTATTTCATTAAAACCAAATATTGAGGAGTGAAATTAATTTCAGCATCATGCTGATAAGTTTTCATAGTTAAACGAGTTATACGGAAAATTACTACGAGTCATTTATAAATAACGTCACAATACAACTAGATAATTAAAACAGAATCACAAAATCATCCGCTTAACTATTCCTCTTGATTAATTTGGTAAAAAAATTATCCGAAAAAAAGTTTTCATAGTTAAACGTCGATAATTATCCGAAAAAAATGAAATTTAAATTATATTGTGAAAAAAAAATAATTACTTTAGGAGGAGCAGTGGTTGGTCTCATTGAATTACGATGTGCAATAGCAGTTGGTTTCATCGATAGCAAAGTCAAAGTAGTGGATGGGACAATTGGTGGACTAATACTGGGTGGAAGGGGCTGCTGATAGTTGCGTACACGTAAAGCATCTGATGCAGTATCACCCCACACTAAATTCAGATCAGCCGTACTTAGTCGTGGAGGTGGCGGCGCTTTCCGGATTGGTACCAGAAGCTTCTCAATCTTCAATGCCTTCTTCAATTTTTCCCAAATTCTAAAGCAATAGGATACCAAATTACCAGGATATTCAGATCACATTTCTGCTAGAGCAATTTTGCGTCCTTAAGCAGATTTCTCAAAAGAAATTGGTGACATAAGCCATCAAGTCAGTTAGTTCATTAGCTGATTGTACTCCAGTGTAGTTATCAAGTATTAGGTATTGATTTCTAAAATGAATTTGGGTTTCAAAACACTGGAAAATAACGAACTCTTTATGAAGCCAGAAGTTCCTTTTTCGTTTCACGACAACTGAAGTGCCAATAAATGCAATAGTTAATATCAGAAGAAGCCAAAATACCACGAAGCCTACATGAATGACACCACCCTCAACAGCAGGACCGCTATTTACCGACCCACCAGGGCCGGGTATAGCACAGGACGGTCCGCCATAACCTGGATCACAGTGACAATTACCCATATTATTACAGATTCCTGCATTATTACACGATGCTGGTTCACATTTTGGCGCCATTAGTACTTTCGCAGTTCGATTCTGACACTTTGCGTCAACGCACATCTAAAAAAAGTGAATCGTTTTGATTTTTTAGTGAAACCTTCAAAAAAATTATCAAATCAAAAAATTTTAATTTCCAAAAAAAAGATGCTAGAAGTTTGCCGTTAGAAAATTAAACTTACTTCATCTTGGCCACAGGATGCACCATCCGGAACCATTCCAGGGTCAGATTCTTTTCGACCACTCATATATTTTGTCCAAACCACTCTACATGCAACATCTTCACCACTACTCAATCGCAAACCAGTGTACGATGTGTAAACGGTTGATGGATCACCAAAAGCCAGTTTCTCATTCTCATGGATACAGTGTAATCGCCCACATTTAATGTTACTGAAAACCATTCTGGATGATTGTTTCACTTCCCTTCCTTAATCTATCATCAGTCACTTTCTACTCTCTGTCGCGTACTTAATGATTTAAAAGTGACCTCAAAATCTTAGTCCTCATATAAAATAAATATCGTGGTAGACTTTTTTTATAAGGATCTTCAGTGAACGTGCCTTACACCATATTTATAACTTTGACAGGTTCTCCCGTGATATTGTGGTGACATAGGCTTTCCGAAAAAGATTTTCGAGATGAAATATAAGATGGTTCAACTTGAGCTATTCTCTGACTAGGCTGTATATATTTGATAAGATTATGGAAACATTTAAGTAAGAAAAAGTCACTTTTTATCACATGGCACAAAACGATTCGTTTCATGCAGAAAGCCACAATTTCCACCATTGCTTCCATATAAATTCAAATTATAACATGCTGGTGCTGCATTTTTCCCAGTTGGTCCCCAAATATGTTGACACTGGGCATCACGACTTCCACAATAACCATTATAACAATAATCCTGGAAAACGGTTATTTTTAAACGAATACGAAGACTTAAGAAAATCCATATATTCCCTTAACAATAATAACAATAAAACTTAAATAATAAAATCATTTTGTAGCAAAAGCGTGAAATTCCTTAAATTAAAAGCATTTACATTTAAACTTGCTTTATATTAAACAGTCTAACTATCCAGAAGTTACTAATACGGCTTCATGGTCACAACTGATAGTATGTCTGTTTTCTCTCACAACGTCAGCTGAAAAATGAGAAGTTAAAACTATTAACATTAGCATGATTCGGGCATTCAAGACCATCCTGCACAAAGAAATCTGCTGGACAATGTTCCATTTGTCCATCACAGTATTCTGGTAAATCGCATTCGTTGGTTGCCTGACGACAAATGGTAGTAGCTGGCAACATCTGGCATGTATTCAAATCACAACATTCGCCACTGGCGCAAACGGCCGCTTCCGCTAACTGACATGTAGCTGGATTACAGCATTTGTTGATACAAGCGCTCTGGAAAAAAACATATTCTGAATATAATACCTGGAACTATTGACAATATTCATTATGCTGATTATATTATCCCGATATTACATTGTAATTTTTCTTTTTTTTTCATGTTTCGATATGAAAGCCGAGGTGCGACGATCATAATAAATTCTGTAATGACTCCACTGTCATATCCACAATGCAATATAACATGGATTCTGAAACAGGCTTAGGATTTGAAAGATGCTTTCTGTTTAAACTGGACATAATTTGTATATTCCCAAAGATGCATTAAACAATTGATGAGTAAAGCAAAATATTTTTGCTAGCGTGAGCTTTTTTGAGGATGCTCATATTTAGCATATGTTATACCTTGGAAGCTAGTTTTTTATCGAAGCTTAAATATGAACTGCTTAGTACTATGAATCCCTTTCTTACGAGAATCAGTGAAGTCAAACAAACCGGTGTTCCACAGTCACATTCTTCACCAGATTCTACAATTCCATTGCCACAACGTGCACCACCAAATACACTTTCAGGAGAATTACGCAAGCAGTAATCCACTCCACGTGAAAAACTGTGCTGTAATGCACGCATACTGCATTCTGACCAGAAGGTTGGACGACTAATGCTAAAAATTATATTACTTAATCCTATAAAAAGATTGAGTTTTGACAGTGACTTAGAGATTTTCTTAAACTTAAACAATGAATAAAAATGTAATAACTCAGTTACCACTAATCTTTTTTGGTTAGGGGTGACTCTGCCGATTATCCCATTCTTTGTAAGCACCAAAATGACTGCTGTCACAGTCAGTGCAAAAAAAAATTGTGGCATCCTCAAATATACACATTCAAATATACACAAAAAATTCAAATATACCTCAAATATACACATTACGCAAAGTATTGTAAAATTGTGTTTGGTACTATTAATTTATAGTCTAATTAGTTCTCTAATTATCTCGCAAAATCCTCGACACCTAACTTGTGTTCAACTAGAGGCATATAGAAATCAATGCGAAATTACCCGGTAGATGGTGACATAATACATGATTTGGCTGGACAACGGCATTCCACTTCATCGATATCATGCTCCATCCCAAAATTATGCCCCAATTCGTGTGCAACGGTAGCAGCAACAAATGCAGCCTGATCACTGTGATCCATATCGACTCCACCAGAGAAATCATAAGAACACATCGTACCTTTGAAAGCCTTGCCAACAACATTGTTGTCAAATGCAACTCCACTGGAAAATAAGAGCAAATAAAATTTTAAAATATGAATTCGTCGTAAAACTAAGCTAAAATATGAATTCAACTAGAAATACTCTCGTTTAAAAGGAAAACCTTCCATTAACCGATTCAACTCTGGAATAAAACATGAGTTGCAAAACAAAGTATGATGGCAGTAACGACTTACGTAATGCCAAAATACCGAATATTTCTATCAGCTTAAGATAAGCTGAGCATTAATCGTAATATATCGTTAAATTTGTAACATTGTTAAATCCAAGTTTACATAATGCATGATGAAAAAAAATGCTATGAAATATAATCCAGTGCTTCAAATGCGGTCGTATTGGAAGGTAAATATTCATTACTAAAAAAAGCTTTATGACTAAAATGTATACATGGAAATAAAGTCTAATAGAAGCAAAACTTGTAGTAATGGTACTAACGTAAGTAAATGTGCATTATCGTGTGGATGATCCTTCAACAATCCTTTTCGCCAATTCAGGAAATTCCATAGTGTTGTATCAGAATTTGATGTAACATCAACTGGATTACCGTTTGTCCATACATCAGCCCAAACAAGAACTACTCGAATATTAATCGGCAGGTATAACTAAAATATAAATATCACATTCATATCAAGTTTCGTAAATAAAAAATTTTTACAAAACAAATAATATTTCTTCAGAAATTTTTAAGTTTTGGCGACAGAGTGGATAAAGTTCAACGAAAGGGACTTCTTTTTTTAAAAATTCAAATCAAATTCAAGTTCAAAGGTATTTCCTAAATAATTATAGTGAAATATAATCAAAAAAGAAAGTCTTTACCGAATTAATGTAGTTGGTGATAGCATTAAGTCTTTGCATAACTTCGGTTACGTTGCTATGATGTCTCTCAAACTGAAATTTTACAATTCATCTCACTGTAATATAAATCACCTTTTTTGTTAGATCATTGTGCTCAAAAATATACATGAAGTGGTAAACCACAGTATTCGCCAATTCTTTCCCTTCAGTGTCAATAACTTATTATCAAGAAAAGATAACCAGTAAAATATCTCTGCAACATGTTTAGTGACACCATAAATTTATCCGGAATCTTATGAGTGTCCATTAAGCAGTATACTGAACCTTATACTACTGATTATGCATCGGAAACGACAAGGAATGCAACGACTGACATCACCTCTCAACAGGAGTTTGAAGTAGAACTATCTTCAAGTTTTTACACTAAACAGTTCCGACTGAATAGAAAGACTTCTGGTATACCAAAGAGTACTGAAATAAAAGGCTAGCATCCCGAATGATATCTTCCATGTTTGAATTGGTCAAACAATGACGATGTCTTTTGATATTGCTTGAAGAGACATTTCTTCTATCAGAGTTTGGCTTTTAACTCAAAGTCTGAAGAGCAAAATTTATTACCTTTCTGTTTGTTTAAATAAACTAAGTGGAAGATCACGGTTAGCCCAATAGCAATTGTAATATTTTAAAGGTAAAGTCTTATGCCAGATATAACTACTTATAATCTTATAAATCACTGTGAATCAGACGTATAGTGCAACACAAATAACTATTAATTCATTGAAATTTACAAACCACTAATTTATCCGCCACAAGTGCTAACTCCACGTAACGCCAACGTCCATCCAAAAATTGTGCATAGTATTCAGCTGTATGAGATCCACCAACAGAACGCTTATTTCTTGGTCTCCAGTCTGAAAATATGTTTTCCGTATTTCGTTATAAAATTATTTAAAAAACGAAAACAATGCAATGCTTGGAGTACTTACCACAGGAATGATCAGATAATGGAACGAAATAAAACGATGCATTCGAATCCGCTTCTAGCACAAATCGCCGATCATTTATAGTGAATAATCCCCTGAAAATTTGGTTTACTTACAAGGGAAGTTCGTTTCATCTCTTCTAAAGTTCCTAATCAGAAGAAATGTACGGCTATTTAACTTGGCCTATTCCAATAAAGACTAAACGGTATTCTGAAAACGGGTGTGTACAGGTTCTCTTACGATGCTTAATTATTCTACCTATCAAGAGCATGGATTACTTGGTGGTTTTCGGTCAATACACGACAGTAATCCTCCTGAAAGGCTTGTGGTGTCTGAGGCGTCCCGTAAGCATTAATAATTAAAGTAAAAATATAGCAAGAATTCGAGGATATATTTAAAAGTGTTCCAGTAATAAAAACTTACCCGAAAAGTGATACCGAACAAGTGCTCATAGCACTGTGCTCACCGGTACTACTTAAAACTTCGAAATGGCATGGTATGTCAACCTGAAAAGAAGCACTAATACAAGAATGGCTCATTCTTGTCATCACACAATTTTAAGGCTCAAGAATTTGACCGTAAGAAATTAATTTAAGAAAACAGGCCTGAAAGTTTGTTAACTGAACAATTTATTATTGAATTTGTTAAGCGCCTTATAAAATTTCATTTAAAAATGAGGGAAACTGAACCTTGGCAGAAGTGTCCACTAACTCCTGGTTCGGTTGGAAAACAAAATTTCGACTTTCCCCAGCATCATTCTGGAGTCTGAGTTCGAATTTAGGTTTAATTGTTTGACTAATGGATATAAGTTGATCAGCATTCAATTCATGTTCACCGTAGTAAATATGCAAAGGGCAGTGAGTGTCACGACGCATCGCCCAATTTCCGTTGCCCAACCAATTCTTGAAAATTTCAATAATGAATATATTTCGTAATAATGGAAAAAACATATCATCCGATGATAGCAATAGGTTATAATGGTATAAGCATCACCTTTTATAAGTTATAATGATTTTTAAATGCAATGAAAAATATCATAGTCATGTAATGTAATAAAGAACGTTATAATCGTGGAACCTGTTCAATTAACACAGATCAGAATTAATGCAAAATTCGACAGATTCGTACATACTAATACATATAAGTAAAATAAACTTAAACCTTCTAACACTGCAGTAGCGCTAATCAATACCGATCTGTATTCGCCGGTAGGTGAACAGTGTTTGTTAGTGTATAAAAGGCAAAATTAAAAATCTTCGAAAAAAATATAAAAATGCAAAATTTATACAAATCCATGGTCTCAATGAGGTTTAAGCAAAATTTCTCGCTATAAAATCTTTTTTTACGGAAAAGCAGAATTTGGACCAATCAATTTACACTAATATACAAACGAATAATCATTACGAAGTAGTTCAAGACTATAGGGAAAAACGGCAATTCAGATAGTTCAAAATTTCTTATGTTCGGGAATATGATAGTTTACCATTCCTCAAGTTTTGAATGTCTTTTTTCTTGACTGTAATATTCTGCATAAGGCATTTAATATAATTCCTGTTATTAATATTCAAAAATAGCATTTTTTACAGATAACATTCAAAGCCGCAAACTTATTATTACAGTTTACTCTTTAATTTAAGCCAGAATTTTTGAATGATAGGTGGAGGAATAGAAAACATTATTTCCGACACTTATATTTTTCGTCGTTTGCCAAAACACTGACGTTTCCGCAATACTTATTAACACAGAAGAGAACTGCTAATGTTGAATCAAGATGGATAAAAAACTGAGCCTTACTTAGCAATGATTCTAAAAATGGGGAAAGAATTATCTGTACAGATCATCCAAATGATGCGGCAGCCACGACGTCAATTTGTTCAAATACCTTATCCTATAAGTACTACCATTTACCATTGCTGTACCATTATGTGGTCAACAAATGGAAGTTAACGGAAGCTGTGCAACAGAAATGACCAAATCATTACTAGTGATCCGAGATGATAACCATCAAATGCACAATGCCATTCTTCTGAAACTGACATTGAATAACTTCAAATTAAACATTGAATAACTCAGGATATTTTCCTCTGTTTTTTCTAGTCTCTTTCCAATGACATAAAAGGCATTCTTCTCGAGAGAAATAAAAAAGTTTGAAACTAATTCGATCATCTAATTTCTTTATTTTCAAAATAACATAAACTAACCATAAAAACAACTGTCGGAAGAAAGTTAAAAAGAGGAGTAAAATTCGCTATGCATTGAATGAATGGTTTCTGGAAGTTATCTAAATTTATTCGGAATGAAATACTGCACGGGCGCTGTAAATTGAAATGCAAAAAAAGAAAATGGAATTTTCGGGAGAATGTTTAAAGTGGTATCGACCATTTGTTTTGGAATGCTTTAAATCAAAAAATATATAAAATAAAAGGGGTAAAAACGACTATTTCGGAATGACGAATCAATTGAAAGAAAGAATTGCCTGAGGGAACAGGAGCATCGAATTGTTCGACGAAATGCACAAGTTCACTAATAAACTCTCTGCTTTTGAAATTTTGATTTTTTATCTTGATTTTCTGATTTTTATCTTGATTTCCTCTCTCTCCGACTAACTTCTTCTGAAGCATCATTTCACCCTCTTTCCACTCTATCAAATTTAGATGGAAGATATAACTTCAAATCATCACCAATGACAACATCTTTCACAATATCTTCATGGTATGGAATTTCACTCTGACCAGGAAAAAGGGATAGGTGAAATGATTAATAAATATTATTGAGTGAAAGTATTTCAGAGAAGAATGAATTCTGATCCGCAAACTATGGAACATAATCCCGCGCATAACCTATCCGTCCACTAGAAATACAAGCCACTATGGTGGCCCCACAATGTACATGAAGTGAGCATTTTGCAATCGGTATTTCTCTTCAACAGCTAGAGTTGGTATGTATGTGTGTGTATGTGCGTACATCATCTATTTGTGTCATTCAGCAAGTATAAACGCATCTGGTAGACGTACTCATTGAACTGAAAGTGAAATGATTTGCAAGGTCAAAGAACATACGGTGACAACGACAAGTGTGTTCATCTGCTCAATTTATAAAATCCGCAGGACATATTACAATTTGCATTTTAGAATTGAAAATTTTCATTGAACACAAATGCAAATGTCCTTATGGATTGATAGGTGCCGAAATCTTTACGATAAAAATGCGAAAAATATTTCTCTTTTAAACTAATATCAGAATGAAGACAAAATTGTGTGAACTTCTATGAGTTATCAAGAAAAAAAATCACTTTTGTTTAAAAGCTGATCATTTCACTAATGTTCATAAATTAGTCCCGATTTTAAGCGCATAACGGTTTTTCATTCAACACCATAAAGAAAACTGTAAGATGGGACGGATTTCTTTTCTTACAAAGAACACAAGTGCAAACTGGTAAGCTGTGGCTGTCCGGACAAGCAGCCAATGCTTAAGGTCCAATCTTAAGTTGCAGTTAAGTTGTTCCGTAAGGTATTTTGATGGTCAAACTAGAATGCTTGATCCAGCAAAACGGAAATGTATTCGACTCGATCCTGAATTTCTTAACCGAGAACTGATTAAATTTGAGCAAGTTGAAGACAATATATATTGCTCCTTTTTTGTTCAGTTACTAGTATTTGCTACTGCGATGGTATTTAGATAGCCATTTCAGGATCTGAAACAATCTTGGAAGGGGATGTCAAAATGAAGAGAGCTCATATGAACGATGCTGAATTGTTGCTCAAAACAAAGCAGAAAAAGTCTTATTGAAATTTGCTAATTTCCGAAATTATGGTTATATTTGTTTTTAGCTTTTTCTTATTGAAATTTGCTAATTTCCGAAATTATGGTTATATTTGTTTTTAGCTTTTTTTTTGATATTTAATATAGCTTTCTTGAATTTCTTTAGTTTGGCGTAAAATAACGATCACAGTCATGGAGCCCGAGTGCTCTCAATACAACGATTGTTCTTAACACACATCATTGGATGTGGTAACAACTGGACAGCATATATACGATATAGTCAGTAGTATTTTCAAATTAAATAGAAGGAAGGGCATGAAACAGGAATAAAGCAGTAGACAGTTTTATCATAACTCTAATCGAATTGTGTGAAGAATATGTCAAATGAAACGTCAAGTATTTTTTGCTATCATTTTCTGGTGGATATCACTGGTATGTACAGTGATTATAGCTTGCATTGAAGACTGAAATAAACCTCTGAGTAGTGCATGCTGCTACTTTTACGTAAGACGTGAATGTAAATCCGTCTTTTTGCTTTATGCACTTACAAGCAACTAATTTCCAGGTTAGTTTTAGTTAAAAACTGCAGTTAGTTACTTCGAAATCAGGAAGTAAACTTGCAAAACATACTAACTGCTTTACAATACAGAAATTTCAACTTTTTATTACCTCCTCAGAAATAATTCGGAATGACTTTCTTCAAAAATCCGAAAATCTTTTCTCAACGTTCACTCCCTAATATTAATTTCTTCCTTGTACGGCTAAAATCTCCTTTGCAAAAAGCCAAAACAAATAAAGCGTATGGAACGTGATCAACATCAGTACAGGAATAACAAAAAAAATCTTTACAGTGGTAGTACAGCACTCTTTGAAAATCATTTCTTCATCTTCAACTCCTAAAAATGCAATCCCGGATAACCCGTGAAGCTACTTATCCAAATTTACCACGATTTCCCTTCATCCATTCCTCAGAACAATTTATGTTATTACTTCTTATCATCAATTAAAAGTCCCAATTTTCCGTAGGTAATGTCTGCAAAACATTTATATTCAGTGTTCTTTGCTTCTGTGAACTTTTTTTCGGATAACAAACCATGACAGTACTTTATTGATGTAAGAAAAATGAAGAAGTTAACAATTACTCAGACAGGAAATATTAACAAAATTATCAACTTATTCAGGCCAGGGACAACAGCAAAGAA